TACCAGTGACCTTCCTTTAAAGTCTGAGTCCTCTGCATGGGTCAGGCAGCTCTTCTGTGGGCTTTGACTGAGACCATCACCGAGGAATTACGAGCTCCATGCAAGGAAAAGGCTGGGTCTGGCCACCTCCGAGCTGAGCGGTAACAGCCAAAATACTGCACGGCTCCCAGCCTCTCCTCCTTCAGGGGGAGTTAGGTGCTGGGACACGGGATCACCAAGCACAGAGCCACAATCCGCCAGTATCAGTTGTCAGGGTATCAGCACTCCCTTCCAGACGGGTTCATTCCCAGGTATTTGTTGTGCAGACAAGAGGGCAGGCTACACGTTACAGGTACGGATGGTTTTTACCAGAATCACCCACATTTATGACTTCTGTTCACATGCAGGACACTTGAGGAGTTCTGTGTGGCTGTCATCCCCAGCCCCTATTAGCAAACACATCCATCAGTTCCACCCCCAAGCATTTCCCAAACAGTTCTTTCCCATTAGTGTAAAATCTTTAGAAAAGACAACAAAACTGATGCTGGAAAACAGTTCCAGGCTCTGTGCTGCTGGGTGTAGCAGGATCTGGTACTACTGCCATTTTGCGTCAACAAATAAATCCATTTTACTTTACAATTAAATTAAAGAGTGTCGTTTAAGGGAGGTTGCATGAATATTACTGTGCTATTCAATCCTCTCAGAGGCAGATTTTTTCCTATGAATCATCATTTCTTGGTATCTTACAGCCACCGAGCCAATCCCTTCCCTTCTCGCAGTGCCATTTTTCCATTGCAGTTAAACTCATTAAGGTTTCCTCCAACCATCCCCTTTTGCGGTCCATCTTCTTCTCCGCTTTCTCCCCGTTTCTCCTGCCAGCTGCTTCGCAAGCACCTCTTTCGAGGCTCCAGCTGGCCGCAGCTCCCTGCCCCAGCCGCTGCCACTCAAGGGTGTCGTGCTCCCGGCGTGGCTGCCCCAGCAGGGCCGCAGCCACCGCCATGCTCAGCAACCTCCCGACGTCGCTCCTGCGCTGCTCCTGCCAGGCAGAGGTTTCTTCCCGAGACTGGCGGCTGCCAAAAATGCTGTAGAAGAGACTCCATCCTCCCTCAGTTAGGAAGGAGAACCGCTGCGATGTCAGGTCTGCCACCAGGTTCTTCGTCTCTCCTCCTGCCTCCTCTACACGCCACTGCCATTTTGTGTTATTTAAGATAGCGGGCAGAAATCTGAACGGTGTTTGGATGCTCACAGGCACACATTGCTGCACACTCCCTGCCTTCTTTGCAGGAGAAACCTATTTAACCCTGTCCAAAACGCACAGCCACAAAGTTTCAGCATGTCTAGTTCAACCCCAAATGTTTCACGAGTCAACTCAAGTCAGCAGATCAGCACCAGGAGGCAGGAATGTATTCGTTACTTACACGCTAAGATACCTACTCATAGTTTGCAAAACAGGAGTAGCTATCTTCAAGACTCGAAACATCTTCCAGATGTGAGAATCAACAAAGTTGAAGCAGTCACGAGATGAGCAATGTCTACCAGCAAGTTCAAAGACAACAATAAATAATAAAACAATAGCTGCTAGAAAGAAGGCTCCTATTTCTGGGAGACTGGGAAAATACCTGCACGGTGAAACAACAAAGATCACCTAAACGAAGGAAAAAAGCACTGCTTCAGCTTCAACATAGATAAGTTTCACACAAGACAAAATAAACCCAGAACACTTATCTTAGCCCAACTACTTTCCCTTGTTAGAATTAAAACCTTAAGCAGATAAATCTTCCAGCAAGCCAGAGACTTCTATACACATACAATATTCTAAATAAAGAAGCTTTTCCCCCCGCTTTGGCCAGAACTTTTCCTTCTTGTTTATTGATACATCTCTTTTCAACCTGCCTCCCTTCAGAATGTGAGATTCTCTTCCACTGAAGTCACACCACGAGAGCTACAGGGCCGCGTTAGTGCATAGAAGGAAGATGGGGGAAAAAGGTCACTGCAATTCTGAAGCACGCAGGCTTTTTCCATTTACGATGGCAATATAACTCACAAGATTCTACCAGCAGATTTTTAGGATGTAAACAGTTCTCCTTTTAAAGCTAAAGGACGGCTAAATAAAGCTACAAGACAAATTCTCTCAGGTCTAAGTCCATCCAGGGTAACACCGTAACCCAAAAATTTTCTTCTAAACCTAGTAATTTCTAAAACAAAAATGAAAAGAGCTCTTGAAACCACCCCTGACTTGGGACACTGAGCTCCTGCCGCAAGTAGCAGCCTCACACGACCCCGCCAGGTTATGAGAACAGCTCTGGGTCTCTCCCCAGCTCCCCCTCAGTCCCTCCTAGCAGGCCCTACCAGCCCGGGCCCTGCCTTCCCCGCGGAGCCTTGCTGCCCACAAGAACCGCCACCGCCTCCCACGAGCATGGGCCCCACTGGAATAGCTTCTAGACCAAAATCCCCCCAAAAAAACAGACAGAAAACAAGCAGCCACCACCTAACAGCGCCGCACTACACGATCCAACCGAATGCTCTCTTCTTTCAAGGTTAAGGCAATTAGGAAGAAGACCACGGGCAGCCTAATGCTGCAGCTGGGTTTTCCTTCACATCCCTTCTTTATCTGTTCTGGTATTTTAACACAATCAACACCTACTTAATTCTTGCACAGGCCCATGTTGCAAAAGTTTTATGGGCTCTGGGCCTCCCAGGAACATGCTCTTGGACAAGTTAGACTCGTTACACCCCAGTGAGCATGCCTTCCTCAGCCCACTTTAAAAAGCCCTGTTGCAACTCCTTCAGCAGCGCACGTCTTCGGCAACACCACGAGAGCACGGCCACGAGGGTCACGTCCAGAGAGTAGGCTCGGGCTGCGTGGGATCCACAGGGTGCTAACAGGCTGGTGGTTCTCAGTGATATCCTGCCAGACTACGCTCGGTGCCTGCTTCTGCTCAGAATGAGACCGATGGGTCTGTAACTTCTCTTTCCGACCACCAGGAAAGCATAAAGGCAGATTCCAGACCCCGTTTTTACTGCTTGCCAGTTTCTAAGCATGAGGACATTTGCTAGAGTCTTCCTCTTTTACTTCAAGGCTCATTTTACAAGCGTACATAGTCGGAGCCTGAAGATTTCCTTCTGTAAATTCATGAACCCAAACAAAGTTCAGCCATTGCTGTGTGGCTTCTTAAAAATCACAGAAATAAGGTTTTCATAGAAACCCTATACCATACAGAAATCCCAGATGCCCTGCCAGACCCGGGGACTGCCCGTTTCAGCCACACACCACACCCAGTCTGAACTCTGCGGCCTGGTCTCAGCACCATTGCCTGCTCTGCCCACAGCACTGGCACGCTGGGGGAATCCCCAAACACAGCAGCACGATCCTACCTGCACCCGCACCAGCTGAACAGGCTGCTGCGCTCCAAGGGAAGGGAAAGATTCTCTGCCACACTATCAGGAGGAAAACGCTGGAACAATTTACAAAAGGAGCAACCTTCCTTAACTGCTTCTTAGAAAACATTCAGGAAAGTGCCTTTGGAGAATGATCTAGGCTTACCGCGTCTATAAGGGGAGGCAAAGCTCAAATTAGAGTTGCAACACCTCTTCCAGCCCTGCCATTACAGGCCTGCAGATATTGTTACCTCCATGTCTAGAGAGAGCTTTTCCTGTGCCTGTCATTCTGAGCCATGAGAAACTACACCTCTGTGGGCTGTTTGGGAAGGAAAAGGGTTTTTATTATTATTATTATTTTTGATTTTTTTTTGGTGGGGGGGAGTATCTGGTTGGCCTTGCCTTTAGCATGGGCTGCGCTACAAATAAAAACAAAGGGCTGGAGATACAGGGCTCTGACACACACAGAACTACAGATTCCATTACTGCTGCCTTTCCTGCCCTTCTTCTAACGGATATTCCTGTACCAGAGGGAGGAATACCCAATTCACCTATGAAACTATGCCTGGACCACCAGTTTTCAGACTGGAACTGAGGAAAAAAGAAAAAGCCATTATACCATCGGTGAAACTATTTTAACTAACGTGAATTTTGCAGCATTGAGGTAACAGCAGCACGGGAAACGGAGCCTCTGATCCGCTGGGGCCTTGCCTCACTGAACAGAAGATACGCAGTAAGGCAACACAACGCATATCAACGCGTAGATTTCTCTTGTTACACAAGACAACCGGATAAGAAACGACTCCCTCGAACCCCTTGGCGCTGCAGACGCCTCTCATTTTTAATTCCCAGCCAGAGCACTGCCAATCTGCACAGGAGCTCTCAACCAGGGCTGTAAATTCGGGGGCCTTGCTCGGCTCATGGGTTATGGGCGGGCTGCAGCCAGCCCTTATCCCGCCGAGAGCCATTTTAGAGCCGCCCAAGCTGCCCCAGGGACCTCGGGCTCTGCCCCCCGGCTCCACCCGAGGCGGCCCCGGCCCCCTCAGCGCCGCAGCCCCCATCCGGCCCCTCACGTTTCGTGCCCCCCCCCCCCCCCCAACCTCAAGCGGCGGGGGCGGACTCCCAGCCCCGTCTCTATGGTACGGAGGGGGTAGAGCGGCCGGGGAGGGGGGCGAGCAGAGGCACGTGACCCGCCCCGAGCCAATGGGGAAGGCCGTGACCATAGAGCAGAGCGGGGCGCCCGCTAGACATGCCGCCCCCCGCGCCCGCCTCTCTGCTGCCGCCATCTTGTCGGAGGCGGCGGAGCCCGCCCGGCCGCCGAGCCGGGCCCGCTGCCTCTCCCCGCGTCCCCGCGGCGCTCCCCTCCCGCACCTCCCTCCCTTCCCGCTGCCTCCGGGCGCCGCCGCGAGCCGCCGTTACCTCTAGTAGGCCCGCGGCGAAGCCTATGCTGGGTACGAGGCCGAGCGGCCGGCCGCCATCTTGGGGAAGAAGAGGGACTCGCGTGACCCACCCGCACACAGCCCGCCCCGCCCCGCGGCCCCTGCCCGCCCGGTTGCTATGGGAACGGGGCGGGCGCATGCGCACGGGAGGGGAGGGGGGGGGAAACCTCCTTAGAGGCGGGGCTTAACGCGCTATGGGCGGGGCTTAAAGGGGGCGGGGCTTAAATAGGGCGGGCGGGGCGGTGCCGCCTCTCCGCTTCCCGCCCTGCCTCAGGGGCTGCGCGCGCGGCGGCGGTTGGCGGGGCCGGCGGCTGAGGTGAGCTGAGGGGGGGGGGGCTGAGGGGGATCCGTGAGGGGGCGCCGTGCTCGAGGCCCGGTGGCAGAGGCCCCCCCTGCAGGGCCACGGCGCTGAAATTGGGTAGATTCAGGAAATCCTCGCTTGCAGCATCGGATGCTGAGTGTGGGGTTCCCCCGGCGGCTGTGGGGGGCTCCGCAGGGACCCGGCGGCGTCCCAAAGCCTGCGGGGAGAAGCCTCACGAGGAGCATCTCCGGCTGCAGGAGGTTTGGCTGCTCGCACGCCGGCTTACCGGGGGAATTCCTGGCCTTGCAGGCAATAGTTTTTATTTTTAGAGCGAAATTTTACCTCAGAAGCGAGCTGCACGGCTTTCGCCCTGTGCTGAGAGGTGCGAAGGGTGAGCGTGCTTCAGGGGGGCAGTGGAAGGAGTCAGATGGCGATAGCTTCCTGCCCACACAATGAGGGTTGGAGTCCTCTAGATAAGAGGCAGCTCTGCTACGTGGGCTCTGCGCGTGGGAACAGATCCCTTTTTGGTTAAAGAGGGTGAGCCAGAGGAGGAACCAGAAAGGGGACCTGGAGCACTCATCTGACAAGGGTCCTGCTCGTGTTGACGTTTTTAGATTATCGTAGTGAATGATACCTCTTCAAATGATGCAAGTTAGCCTGATAGAAGTCCACTGGTGTTGGCAGGTCTTGGTCACAAGACATTGTTGCACAGAGGTGTCAAATGAGAGGTTTCTTTTTCCCCTGTGCTTTGTATCTCTGTGTGACAGAGCTGTGTGCAAAAATCCGAACTTGGCAGCAAAAGTTAAAATGGATGACTGAGTTTGCAAGCATCTAGACCAAAGAGGAGGAGAAAACGTTTCCTTTTGAAGTCATCAACTCTTTACAGAACACTCAAGCATGAAAGGAAATGGCGAGGGGGGGAAGTTTAAAAAGAAAAAAAAAAGCTGTGTGAGGGTTTTGTTGTTTTTTTGAGCTTTGAAAAAAACCATATTTCCTGTAAGTGGTAATATGCCTTTTAGCATATTTTGGTTAGTTTCTGGAAGGGATGTGAACTCTTCTTTTTCAGGCTTCAGTATGGTTTGTCATACATTAATGTTGTCATGTTAATATTGCTTGAATTTATTGTCTACTGATGGGAATAAACTGCCTAATGTTTGCTGACAATCCTGCTCCTTGTTAATACTGAAGATTCAAATATTTTTCCTCTGTGAGAAGTGATTTGCACTGTTTCAAAATGTCAATGTTTATTCAAGGATGCTCGTTTCCTGATTTAGCATTCAAAGTAGATATTAGTTTGTTTTTTTTTCTCCTCATGTGATTTTTAATAATCTGGAATATATTTTTTGTTTTGTTTTCAGATTTGTTCCTGACCTTCCATAAAAATGTCTAAGGTAAGAATAACATTTCTGCCTTCATATGTAACAATGCAGAATGTATATTTTGTTTTTAAAAAATTACCTACAGACACAGACTGTTTAACCATTACTTTGTCGTTGGTGGGCCTGTGTAAGGTAAATTTACAGCTCACAAATGAGAAGACAATAGCGAGTTATTGAGTTTAATAATATACATATTAAAGCAATTTTCTACACTGAGCATGAAACTCTGTAGTTAACTAATGCTCCTGGAAGGATTTAATTTTGGTCATGGATTTGTATAGAAGTTCCCTGTTAACATTTTCACTGAAACTTCCATCCTTCTGCTGTGTTTTGAGCAGAAATAATTTCAGGGAAGGATGTTCTTGTATTTAACTTATTGGTAATGTATTTATTTGTTCATGTAGTCAACTGATCAGGAAAATCCTCCCTGAAAGTGCAGTAACATATATATATATATAAAAAAAAAAGCTGGGATTCAACTAATTCTTGGTCTCGTGTTTGGTATAACAAGTTAAAACATTCACGTTAGTTTATTGGAGTGAAATGAATGATAAAAGGTACTCAAGTAATATATTTGAGGAGGGAAACTAACAGATCTAAAGATTTCTCTGTGATATTTGTAGTAGAGGGCATTTGAATCACACTTGTATAATTTTCTTTTCCTTTTGAAAGAGATCTCTAATGAGGACTTCCAGCAGATGACTATCTCTTCATAAGTGCCAAAAACCAGATTAATAAAAGTAATGCTTATTTTAGTGCATATGCCTCACGCACAAGCATTTTTATTTTAAATGGGTGTGAAGGCATCATTTAAGAAGACTGTGATTAGCAGTATTTCAATAAATAAACCTTTTTTTCTTTTACTTGAGGTGATCTAGACTGAATGAGGGTAAACAAGAGCAAATGAAACATTTTTTCTAAGCTTTACTTGAAGGCAGTTGTTCTATACTTCATTGTGAAACTATTGAATGACAGGAAAAAGCACCTAGTTTACTCTGTGTATGTCATGTAGTTTTGAATCATATGATTTCAAGTGTTAAATCCCATCGTCTTATCAATGGGATTGACTTTTTCTGTTTCTTAAGAAGTTCTAGTGAAGGCGGAACTTCTGAGAGCTAAATGAGCTACAAACCTTCCGATTTTCCACGCTTCCTTTTCTGGCTTATTGCATTTGAAATAGCTGAGGAGATCACTTACCAAACAAGTATATCTTGTATGGTTTTTTATTATTGTCTTATTTTATTTTTAGCAACAGCCTGCTCAGTTTACCAATCCGGAAACCCCTGGCTACGTTGGGTTTGCCAACCTTCCCAATCAGGTTCATCGGAAGTCTGTGAAGAAAGGCTTTGAATTTACTCTTATGGTGGTTGGTAAGAAAATGTTTCATAGTTCCTCACAACAAATTCTTGCTTACGTAGAGCGTGGAGTTAAAGTGAATATTGCTTCTACTATTGTAAGGCGTCGGCTAGCATCAGAAAGCTCTTCTGGACTGTAGCATTTAACTTTCTTTTATAGTTTATTAATTCATGCATCAGTTGTTTTCCATGTTACAAACCGTGTTTGAATATGTTAATAATTTTGTGGATGTGGTGAAGAAATTTTGTTTTGTCTTACAGGGTTCAAGCATTCCATTTAAAATTTAGCTTAAAAGTGAATTTGAATAGATGCTTTGTTTGCTTGCTTGTTTTTATTAAGCAAATGGTATCAAGGAGACTATTTAAACTATTTGCTATGTAGTTCAAGAGAATCCAAACTCTGGTCTTTCCACCCCTTCTGAATATTTTTGTAAGAGAAGAATAGAATTAATTTAGTTGGTTTGATGTGAGGTTTTACTTTTCAAATTGATACTGATTGTCTATTAGCAGTTAAAATTTAAAGTGTAATTCTATTAGGTATTTCGTTGACAATCTATATTGATACCAGGAATGGGAAGAGAAATCTGCATCTGTGGAAAGACTGATCCATGCTCTCAAAAGTCAGTGATATTTTTGCAGATTAAGTAGGCTTCACAAATCAGGCTTTGTTGTGTTTTTCCTGAATCTATATTTCTTATTGCTTGGGCACTGTAACTCCAGAATTTGGTGTTTAAACTCTGTAATTTTCACCTTGAAGACAGAAGTATCCTAATAGAGTTGTCTGCAGTCAGATTCTTTTTTATGTCTTCATAAGAAGTAAAGCTCATTTGCATGTGCTAGATTTGTCCAAGGGGACATCACTGTGGAAATGAGCAGGAGAGGTGAGTCGGTATGTGATAGTAGGTGTTTAAGTTCTTAATTGTTTTGGATTCCAGTAGTTGTAGGAAGAATCTGTCCTCAAACCTGTCATTAGTTTTGCCAAATGACAGCCCTAGCCTTGCTTTTGCCCCATTTATCTCTTCAACAGTGCAATGTTGGACAGCACTGGCCCTTGTTTTCGGCTTCCTAGAATTTTATGACAGTTGTTTCCTGTTACCTGGGGTGAGGGAGGAGAGGGAAGAGGGAACAAGGACATAGGGAAATTAAGTTACACTGCTTGGTAAATGCCTTTTAATTGTTGGGAGTCATTTCATTTTAGCTCTGTTGGATTTGCCTAGGATAGTATCATAATGGATACCTTATAAAATCTAAGGGTAAAGCCAGCCTTTAGATGTTGGAAATCCTGGTATCTGCTGTCACTCTTTGGAATTTACTGTTCTGTGATCCTAGGTCTGCGAAACAAGGGTGTGCTTAATATACAGAGCGCTTTCAGATGCATCACAAATAGGGCTATCTAAAACAATTCTTGCAGAAAGCTGTGCAAAATTAGATAGACCATACAGCTGTTTCTGCTCTTTTGTAGAATAGAAACTTGTGGGAAAATGACATGGTGTCAGAGTAACAGAAAGGCAATTAACCCCACCATGTCTCAGAGTAAAATCGAACTCTGTAGTCACTGCCTGCCGCTGTTCTAAGGGATAAATGAAAACTGCAGCAAGAGAACTTGCAGAAAAGTAACTTCATTGAAAATGTGGAGTGATATTTTGAGATATGCTAGCAGAGGGAGGCAGTTGATGGAAGTTAAGACAAAATAAACTGCGCTTTAAGTTGATTATTTCAGCAGTTTGGAATGTGAATTCTTTCTCTTGAAATATGTATGGGGTTTAAGTATATTCTCTTGTGGGCTGTATCACAATGTCTGTATTGAACTGTAGTTCTCCACTAACTGTATTTCTCATTTTCTGATCAGGGAAATGTTTTGCCTGTTCTGTTTTTAGGCTTTCTGGACTGACAGTGTCTTGATCAATGCTTTTTCTTCACGTTGTTATTTCAAGTATTGTTTGTCATGATTGGGGAAAAAATAAGCTGGAGTTTATAACAATTTGTTTGTTTGTCTCTGTTGCATCTGAAGAAAACATAACCACTTGTATTTATTAACAATTGCATATTTATTCTGATTATTGAGATATGGCTTCATCTAAACAGTTCTTTCAGTTGAGAGTCACACAACTCTAACTGCTGGGGCCAGTAATTACAATAAATGCTGTTTCATTCATTTTTGACAGAGGCAATGAAAACTGATTTGGTTTAGACGTAATATTTACCCAGGATGAAAATAAGAAGTGTGTCACTGGTTGAAATTGAAGTTTTCTTGGTTTTGCTGAAATGATGCCATGCGAGTGTTGAATTACTCTGGCTGCATGTCTCTTTCACTAGTGAAGGCTGCACTGGTAAAATCCTATCTTGAGAGATGTGTTCTATAAGGCATCACAAAACAGCATCTTCTAGTCAAATCTTTATTTTAAAAAAGAATTCCTTTTTGTTGTTGCTGTTCAGATATTTTTCTCAGACTGCTGTTACAGAACAGACTTTGTTGCTTAGAGGGATCAAGTAACCCTCTCCATTTTTGCTTTTTTATTCTCAAAAAATAATTTGTTCAGTGAATGCATGTACTGAGCAGTTTGAGTTGCTGGTCTTCTTTATGCTGACATTTTTTTCTGATTTATTTCTTGATATTTAGCCAGTTACTTAGCTTTTGAACTTTTCTGATGGCTCAGTCAGTAACTCCGGAAGAAAAACGTATCTGGTACGCTTTGGTAAACCCCAATTTCATCAGTTAAAAAATTACTTTATGCATACTCAGCACTCATATCATGTTCCTTTCCCCTCATTTTTTTCCCCATTAGCATAAAAAGTTGGAATAAATCACACTTTATGATGGTGATCTTTGCAGAAGCTCAGTAACACCTCTTTCATTGTTTAAATTGATGATATGGCCTAGACAAGGCCCAGCTTCTCAGTGTGTATGACATTCTGGAGTGCTATCAGAAAAGCTTACCTTAAAAAAAAAAATCAGGAGATGTGATATGGGAAATTAAAGTCTAATTTTAAAATGATCAGAATTCCACTTGCCTAGAAGGTTTAATTACAAATAATCTCTGAAAACTCTGAGAAAGTGTATAGTAACGTTGAGATGAATAAATTGTAATTCAACATTCCTGTGCAATTTTTTTCTAATACAAAATTCTAAGTTGTATTAATGAGCTGTAAATGTTTAAATGCAAAAAAAAAAGATTTGACATGAAAAATATACAGTCAGATGAAACTTTCTGGATACAGTGGAGATTAATCATGCAAATATATTGACTTTATGTGTAAATTGAATCACAGGTGAATCTGGATTGGGAAAATCTACATTAATAAACAGCCTCTTCTTGACAGATCTCTACCCAGAAAGGATAATCCCAGGAGCTGCTGGTAAACACACTTTTGTTCTGTTTTTTTTTCTGTTCTTGACGATTTGAAGTTGAATATTTTTATGTTTGGATTTTATTATCAGCCAGTTGTTTCAAGCTCTACTAATTTCTAATGTACTGGCTGATACTTGAGCTACCACTGATTGTAGAGCTGATTTCTTCAGTTCTTGGTCTGTGTAGTTTAGTCCTTGGGTGTGCTGAAGAGTCATACTGGCATCTGTGTGCTAATCTCTGCTTAAAATACGTCATCGTGTCATGTTAAGAGAAATAATCAACAAAAGCAATCAGAAACTTTTTAAATCTATTGCAATTCTAAACTTGAACACTTTTTATGTTTGCTTGGGATCGCAATTTGATTCCTTTGGTCTGGGTAGATAGTGAATGTGCACTCGAACTTGTTTCTTCTTCCCCTCCTCTGAGGAGGGGGAGCGAGAGAGCGGTTGTAGTGGAGTTCAGCTGCCCAGCAAGGTAAAAACCACCACAGCACTTCACCTCTGTTTCATCTTCAGATACCTTGTCCCTTTTTTATCCTGTTAAACAAGGCATACAATAATTCAATGAAAGAGAATATTGTAAGACTATAGATACTATTTTCTTCCCCTTTGCTACTTGTTAAACAACTTGATTTAAAAATTTATCATGTTGGCTGAAAACTGCTTTAAACCTTAGGAAAATATGTTACGTATAATTTAGTATTGTTCTACAAATTGCTGAGTACTTACACTTTTTTCTCAGTCACTCCCTTTTGCCTCAGTTTCTATATAAAATTTGAAACAAGTAAGAAATCTAAAAGACTTTTGTAACTTGACAATCAATCCTTTGATAGTGTCTCAAAATGACAGCCTTATAAATTCTGTTCTGAAAGATCAAGTTTCTTGTCTCTTAGAGAAAATTGAACGCACTGTGCAGATTGAAGCCTCAACAGTTGAAATAGAAGAGAGGGGTGTGAAGCTTCGTCTGACGGTTGTAGATACACCAGGATATGGAGATGCTATCAATTGTCGAGATTGGTGCGTACACAGAGTACATATTGATCTAGATTTGATGACTGAACACCCGTTTCACATTATGTCTAATGATATAAGTCAATATCTTCCTTTTTTCATGTGTTAGGTTAAGTGCTGAATTTGAGGTGTCGCTTTTGGAAAATGGGCAAATTTTCTAATTTTGAGGAAGGTTGGTTTAATTTTAGATGTGATTCAAGTTTAAAAATGTTTTCAGTTGCTATATGAGATACATAAGAAGCATCAGTTAACTTCATCCACAGCTTGAAAAATGCTGTGACACAGATGCTTTGATATTTTGTATTTTTCTCTCTCCTTGGTTAACTTTTTTAGGTTTGGAGGGGTTTAAAGTGGATCATGTACTTGACTCTCGTATATTCAGAAAGCAGTGGAACCACTGGGACACAGTGAATTAAACAAACACCTGAGAAAGTAATCCATCTAGTCTTTGGTGCAAATAAAAATTCACCATTAGATCTTGTCTGCATTTGTTTGGGCACTCTCAGACTCCATGCTTTGTTTTTTTTTAAGTGTATTTTAATTGTCTTAGGTTCTCGAGTGTCTTGAAAAGTTTGCTTTCTAGTAAGTACCAATAAATCTTGATTAATGGCATTCAGTGATAGCCTCTGCTGCACTTTGGCCAACTTTCTGTCAAGAACTTGCTGGTCCATCTCATCCATTCTCACTGTGGCATCTTGCTGCCCTTTTTGCTTCCCTGTTCTCCCATTAGTAAAGTTTTGTTTGGGATCTATGAATTGCTTCTAAGGTTGGTTCTCCACCTTAACTGGGAATCAGAATGTCTCAAGCCAGCGTTCGGAGATGCACTTTTTATTTTATTCTTCCATTCAGTAATAAACTGATAATTCCATCTTTTTAGCCTTGGGTATTTATCGTTGGCAAGCATACAATAGGAGGAGTGTAGCTGTCTGCTCAAACCAAACAAATTTGTGTGTAAGGTGAAGTGGTTCACAGAGATGCAACTCTGAGCAGTATGATGCAAGATTTCAGCATTTTTGCATCTCTGTTTCAGCTGTTGGCGAGTTTGCTGTTGCATCAGCATCAATAATTTGATGTTTTAAATTGATTTAGAACAAGAAGCTTAGATTGTCTTGAGTATGTGCAATTAATGCTAATCACAAGATGAATACTAGCCCAAGAGCAGTTTACTTAGAAGTTGAGATGTGTATCATTATGTGTATATGTATTTGTATTTTATCTTAATATGTAAATATATATATTTATTATCCATAGTAGTTATTGTTTATTATTTTGGCATTCAATTCAAATGCTAGGATATGTGCTTAAGATAATTTTACAGTGTCAGTAAATTACTTTTGTCCATCAACAGGCTGCTTCATCAGCAGGAAGTCTGGGTATTTTAATGTAACCTTTGAAAGTTCACTAAAATTATTGGCCGTTTGGGAATAAGCATGATTTCTTAAATCTCAATTTGTTTCACAGTTTTAAGACCATAATCTCCTACATTGATGAGCAGTTTGAGCGATATCTGCATGATGAGAGTGGTTTGAACAGAAGGCATATCATAGATAACCGCGTTCATTGCTGCTTCTATTTCATTTCACCGTTTGGTCATGGGTAAGTATTTCTGTCACTTTTATTTTTGAAAAATAAAAATGCTTCATTTTTTCACTTCAGGGAATTTGTTTTGCACCATTTGTTTTAAATTATCAGAATCAGATTGTCATTACTTAAGTATTAAAACTAAAAGGAGGGACATTTAGAATTAGAATTGTTCAGTTGGAAGGGAACAGCAAAGATTATCGAGTCCAATTGCCTGACCACTTTAGGGCTAAATAAAAGTTAAAGCATATTAATGAGGGCATTATCCAAATGCCTCTTGAACATGGACAAGCTTGGGGCATCAACCATGCCACTAGGAAGTCTGTTCCAGTGTTTGACCATGAGGGTTCATGGTAAAGACATTTTTCCTAATATCTAGTGTGAAGCTCTCATTGCACAGATTTGTGCCGTTCCTGCATGTCCTATCACAAGTTACCAGGGAGAAGAGATGAGCACTTCGCTCTCTATTCCTCCTCAGGAAGTTGTAGAGAGTGATGAGGTCACTTCTTAACCATCTTTTCTCCGGACTAGACAAGCCAAATGTCCTCAGTGTCTGCTCACAGGACATGCTTTCCAACTCTTTTACCAGCTGTTTTGAAGCAAGCTTTTGGATTCAGTTCCTATATCGAGATCACTGTTAAAAATGTTGAGCATAACTAGCTGTAGAAATGAGCCCTGGGGAATACTGCTAATGACCAGCTGCCAGCCAGATGTAGCCCCTCCCAGCACAACCCTTTGAGCTCTACTGTTCAGCCAGCTCATCACCCAGCGTAGTGTGAGCCTTTTTATCTCCCAGTTGGACAATCTATCCAGAAGGATACTGTGAGGGGTGGTATCAGAAGTCTTACTAAAATCCAGAAAGATTATATCTACCACCTTCTCTTTGTCCACTAAGTGGGTGACCTTACTGTAGAAGTAGATCAAATTAGTAAGGCAGGACTTTGCCTTGATGAACCCACGTTGGGTATTCCTTGACAGTAGCTTTGCTCTTTAAACATCTTTCAGTATCCCCCAGGACAATCTGCTCCACAACTTTTCTGGATACTGAGGTTATACTGACAGGTCTGTAGCTGCGTGGGTCTCCTCTTGTGCAGGTATAACATTGGCCAGCTTCCAGTCAGCAGGGTCCTCCCCAGAATCCAAAGACCTGGGAAATTGTTGAGAGGGGTCCAGCTATAACATCCACTAACTCCTTCAGTACTCCATCAGGCCCTACGGATTTAGGAACGTTCAGCTGATAAAACTTGTACCTTACAATTTCAGTGGCCACTTCAGTGAAAGGTTAATGCTTGTCCAGTTGTGGTCCTCAGAGGACCATGAGAAATGTAGAGAACCAGGGAACCCAAGGTCTATCTTTAATATTAAAAACTGAGGCAAAACAAAGGCATTAAACTCCTTTTCCTTAACCTTATTTGTTAGGTGGCCATCTTCATCAAGCATCAGTTCAATGTTTTCCTCAGACTTCCTCTTGCTCTTAGCATACTTAACAAAAGCCTTTTTTGTTCTCTTGTCAATGTTGGTGTGAAGATACTTTGGTCATTTAGATTAAAAATACGATTTTTCCATATTTTATTTTTAGCCTTAAGCCTCTGGATGTTGAATTTATGAAGGCCATACACAACAAAGTAAATATTGTACCAGTGATTGCAAAAGCTGATACACTTTCTCTGAAAGAGCGAGAAAGACTAAAGAAGAGGGTAAGTATTTTTCTGGCTCACAGAAAAGTGTTATACGTCGGCTATAGCAACTTGGTCACTGACAAGAGGAGTGTTCTCTTTCACCCTTACTCTGTTCTCACCAAGAAAAATATAATTTCATGTGCACTGTGTAGCATTATTTAATATGTAGTCTGATACCTTGTGAGTTCTTCTGCTATGTATTTAACTGAGAAATTATCTTTTAAAACGTTGCCTGTGAAATGGCAGATCTGGCTACATCTACAATTACACTGAGTGAATTTTGAAACTTTGGAAAATATCTAAGTGCATTTGCTAGTGGTAATTTCTCCTGCCCTGGTTGATCAGTCCCAAAGCAGAGATCATAATCTCCGAAGCAGAGACAAAGCATCTATAATCTTCATATGTCAGAATACTGATGATTGAAAAACAGGATTTTTCAAAGATTTTACTATGTCACTCTCTTCTAATACATTCCTCCTTCCATAGGCTAGGCACCTGAACACATTCAGTCTTGTAGGACTTTGTAGTATTTACTGAGGGGAGGAACAGTACAACAAACCATCATGAGTTAGTAACTATGAAGTTTAGACTGAAGTGATAGAGAATTAAGTTGTGCTCGTTTGATGCAGGCTTATTTGTTATATTTAAAACTTTGTCTATTCCTATCCCATTCTGAAAACCCTTATAGTTAATTTACCCAACTTGCAAAACTACATTACTTTGAAATACTTATTCTGCTAAAATTCTGCAGAAATAAGTTTGTTCATTTTCTAAGACAAAAATATGGGTTTATGTCAAATGGATTCCTGCTCCTGATGCCATTCTTAACAGTTACGAATACAGAAAAAAGGATTTGTGGTGTTTGTCACTCAGGAGAGTCCCTCCCCAGCTTTCCTGTAGCCCCCTGTAGGCACTGGAAGGACACTGTAAGGTCTCCCCAGAGCCTTCTCTTCTCCCGGCTGAACAACCCCAACTCCCTCAGCCTGGCTCCATAGCAGTTCTCCAGCCCGTTAATCATCTTCATGGCTTCCTCTAAACCTGCTCCAACAGCTCCATATCCTTCTTGTGCTGGGGCCCCAGAGCTGAATGCAAGGCTCCAGGTGGTGTATTTGACCATAACTGATTGTGGGGAAGGCCTTTTAGCCAACACTTGGAGTGATAGGCATGTATAAACAGTCTTAAAATAGTAAACTATATATTAATCTTTTTGACTCTATTGTTTACCTGCTGTATTACTTGGAGTCATAGAATCACCAGGCTTGGAAGAGCCCTCCAAGACCACCTGGCCCAACCACCCCCCTACCACCAATGTCACCACTGAACCCTGTCCCCAAGCACCACGTCCAACCTTTCCTTGAGCACCCCCAGGGACGGTGACTCCACCACCTCCCTGGGCAACCTGTCCCAGTGCCTGACTGCTCTTTCTGAGCAGAAATGTCTCATTTCCAACCTGAACCTGCCCTGGCACAGCTTGAGACTGTTCCCTCTGGTCCTATTACTGGTTACCTGTGAGAAGAGGCCGACCCCCAGCTCCCCACAGCTTCCTTTCAGGCAGTTGCAGAGAGCAATGAGGTCTCCCCTGAGCCTCCCCTTCTCCAGACCAAACCCCCCCAGCTCCCTCAGCCGCTCCTCACAGCACTTGTGTCCCAGGCCCTTCCCCAGCTTCGCAGCCCTGCTCTGGACATGCTCCAGGGCCTTGATGTCCTTCTGGCAGTGAGGGGCCCAGAGCTGAACCCAGCACTTGAGGTGCGGCCTCACCAGAGCAGAGCCCAGGGGGACGATCAACTCCCCGGCCCTGCTGGCTGCACTGCTCCTGACACAGCCAGGATGCCGGTGGCCTTCTTGGCTACCTGGGCACACTGCTGGCTTGTGTTCAGACGAGCATCAACCAGCACCCCCAGATCCCTTCCCTCTGCACAGCTTCCCAGCCTGTAGCACTGCGTGGGGTTGTTGTGACCAAAGTGCAGGACCCGGCCCTGAGCTGTGCTGAACCTCATCCCCTTGGCCTCTCCCCACTGACCCATCCTGCCCAGGTCCCTCTGCAGGGCCTTCCTGCCCTCTGGCAGATCGACACTTCCTGCAGTTTGGTGTCACCTGCAAACTTACTGAGGGTGCTCTCAATTCCCTCACCCAGGTCATCAATAAAGACATTAAAGAGGCTGGGCCCTAACACCGACCCCTGGGGAACACCACTGGTGACAGTCACCAGCTGGATTTCACTCTGTTCACCACCACTCTCTGGGCCCAGTCACCCAGCCCGTTTTTAACCCAGTACAGCCTGTGCCTGTCCAAGCCATGGGCTGCCAGCTTTTCCAGGAGAATGCTGTGGGAGACTGTGACAAAAGCCTTGCTGAAGTCTAGGCAGACTGTCAACAGGCTTTCCCTCATCCACCAGGCAGGTCACAGAAGGAGATGAGGTTGGTTAGGCAGGACTTGCCTTTCATGAACCTATGATGACTGGGCCTGATCCCCTGGTTGAACTGTTCACATTTAAACACAGTTGCAGTATAGCGCTGTCTTGCTGCTATGTTACATTTTGCAAAAGCTAAGGATAATTACTGACACAGTAAAGCAGCATTAGGTATGCCTTAGGTTGCAGGAAAGAGGATGATCATCACCTGAATTAAGCAATTTTTCTCTCTAATTTGCATTTTGAATGAGGAGTGAACCATGGGTTTTCAATTAGAATCAAGATGTGAATGAAATGAGGCAAACAGAAAGCAAAATAAATTTGCGTATTTTAAATAGGCAAATACAACACACGCAAAAAAAGCTTTGCTACTTGATGTTCAGGGACTTAAATGGCTGAAATACATTAATTTTCTTCCATTGCAAAGTGCATGGCAAATAATACTAGTGGAAAACTAGTTGGAAACTCAGTTTTGTTCTCAAGTAAGACTAGAATATAGTAATATTCTATACTAGAATATAATATTCCCTAGGAAGGACAAGGAAGGTTGTACTTCCGTTTTGACAGTTACAGCTAATGTGGATTGACAGTTACAGCTAATGTGGAGCAAGATGAATAAGGGAGGAAGAATTTTTTGCATTGTTTTTATATCTTTGTTTAAAATAAAATTTCACAGCTAGTTATATGTGTAATTTTATGTGTAATAAATTGTTGGAGATGAAACACTGCAAGGCTCAATTGCAGGTCTCGTTTACATACAATAATCATTGTTATTTGGTAGATATTTTTTCAGGAGGACTGAGTTTCCTCAGTGAAGCTGATTTCATTGTGAATACAATTTTTAAATAGTGGAAGCTTTTGAAATGTTAAAATAAAGCAATGGAATAAATGTGCCACTGTTTGTCTGAAGGTCTGCGGCGAGGAGTTGTTGAATATCTTCCTTAAAAACAAATAGTTGGCAATGAATACGAATTAGTAAGATATACACAATCTCTGGCCTGATTAATTTTGCCTTAAGTTTTAAAAGTGCTCGCTTTACATGTATGTTACCTCCGTTTCTTTTATGTAAATCTCAGATTCTGGATGAAATCGAAGAGCATGGCATCAAGATTTATCACCTGCCTGATGCTGAATCAGACGAGGATGAAGATTTTAAAGAGCAGACAAGACTGCTGAAGGTATGAATACGCTGTATCTTTTCAGAGTGCTCAGGTGGCTTTAAAACAAAATACAGAACGTGACCTTTGTTGAGACCTTGAGTGAGTTACTGTAGCTCTGTGCCTAGGCTTCCTTATCTGGAAGATAGTGGTTACAATGACATTTTTTTCCCCACAAGCTTTTTTGACAGCTTCAAATTAAAAACATTGTGTACTTACTACCAATATATGCAGTGCTGAGAGGAATAAGAGGTTTTTTTTTTTTTAGTTGTTTGTCTAGCTCATTGTTGGTAATTTTTGAATTTTTGACTTTCAGGCCAGCATTCCATTTTGTGTAGTGGGATCCAATCAACTCATTGAAGCTAAAGGTAAAAAAGTTAGAGGCCGACTTTACCCATGGGGTGTCGTTGAAGTGGAGAATCCTGAACATAATGACTTTCTGAAGCTGAGGACCATGCTAATGTAAGTAGAAAACTCCAATTGAATAGTAGTAAATAAATAAATAAATTAGGAAGATACTGAAACATTGCACTGGGGGTGTGGAGCGGTTGTGGAATCCTCAGGGATGTGGAATTCATCTGGAGAAGGCCATGAGCAACCTTGATCTAGTTAGTGTAGGTAAGGATTGGACGAGAGGTCCACAAATCCTTTCCAATCTGAATTACTCAGAAGTTCTGTGACAATAATCGTATGTCTAATTCTTCTGTTGAACACAGATGGCCACGAATATAAACCAGGTTGCTTTGTACATTGTGCTTGTTTCTGTGTGCTTTTATAGACTTCACAATTTTGGTATTTAAGTTTTTTCAGCTGTGCTACTCGGCATCCCCTGCCCAGCACTGCTTCGTCAAATGTCTCATACAGGAGTACAGGCTTACAGAGAGGCTGTCTTGGGGTCTGGGGTGGTGTCTCTGTCTTTCATTGCACCTATTTAACTTGCGTTAGCTTTGAAATTAGCATGTTAAATGGGTGCATGCACTGAACTCAGTGACCGAATGCAGTGCTGAATGTGAGAGTTCCTTAACCATGCTGATGTGACGCTGATGTGTTTTATCTTTTGATTTTTCTTCCTTCCTCTAGCACCCATATGCAAGATCTTCAAGAGGTGACCCAGGATCTTCACTATGAGAACTTCCGCTCTGAGAGGCTCAAACGAGGCGGCAGGTGGTCATCTTATTGTTATAAGCTGTTTCTTCCTCCTCTGAATTTATTTTATTCTTCTCCTATCCCCCCATTTCATTGCTAGGATTTCGTAGATCATGGACAGCTCTCTAGTTACAGCCAACACAAAACTCAGTCAATCAGCTTACACTGACAGTAAGAAAAAGTAGTATGTAAATCTGAAGAGATGGCTGTGACACTAAAAAGGGTATAGTGAGATCTCTGTTTTGTTTAAGACTTAAATGCAGTTGGATCAGAGTGTTTGGGTATATAAGTAGGGCAGATGTGTATGACAGAGATCTAAAAATGTGCAAATTAGATTAGCTGATGCATTCAAAGAAATCCCTTTTTTGACTTAACCACTTGAATATCTGTACTGTGTCTTTAAGAAGAGAAACAAGTCCTGCACTACTTTATTTAACACAACATAAATAAATAATTTTCTTTGTAAAGCAGTCAGAGAATAATGTCTTTCTACCCTATTTTGAGCTGTGGTAAAACAGGCAGGCAGAATACCCCATTTTTAACTAAAATAGCAGGGTTTACAAAGTTGAGTTCGTGAGCTCTTGCTGAAAACTGGGTGTGTTTCCTGGTTTAGATTTTTAGGTTGCTTCTCTTATTTCAACCACTAGAGGGTTTCATAATTGCACATTTCAGTGGATTTGATACATTTTGCAAAGCTTTTTCCATTATGTAACTTCTACTCTTGAAATAGGCTTTGTCATATGCCTGGTCTATTTTCAGAAAAAGGAGTTTGATTCTGCCTGTAGGATTGGCCTACTAGTTCAGTTTTCCCTTCAGCCATGGTGACATACTTTCCCCCCCTGACTTAAATCCTGAGTTCTGAAATTCAAGCTAAAAAACTGTCAAGTTCTGGTACCTGTTACCCAACAGGTATTTACAAAGGTCTTAGAAGTAGTGTCATGTTGGGGTGTCTAGTTAAAGTCAAAAAAATCCTCATTTTTTTGAGGATTTGAAGTTGCCTCTGCCAAGGACCCATGACAGTCAGTTGCTGTTAAGTTTAGATATCTTTGTGCAACTAAAACATGCTTTTGTGTCTTGTCTAGCTGAGCGGCAGAGAGATCTTTGTTTTTACATTTCCAAAGTGTTCCTGCACTTGAGTTAAGCTATTGTAAGTGAGGGTGCTTTACACAGGAATTTGTTTCAGATTTGTACCTATTCCACCGGCAGTCCTTGGCAGTGTTTCTAGAGGCTTTTGGACACGGGATTTGATTTCTCTGGCAATCTTACAGAAAAGTGTGCAAATGCACAGAAGCAAGTTTTCTCAAAGATAAATGTACTCCTTTTTTTTGAATGACTTTTAATGAATGATTTTTAAGTACGATGCAGTACTGAAAAAAGGAGAATGGACTTCCTATTTTGTTGGGTTTAGCTTTTTACTTTCTAGAAGCTTTAAGGGTAAGATATAACTTAATGTATACTGTTTAGGTGTTTGCAAGTAAATGTGGTTCATGAAGTTAGAGATGGGATAGAAATGCACCAAAAAAAAGGATCCACCTGAGGGTAGCTGAGTTTTCAGATTAATAATTTCTAGATGTTTTACATGCTGCTTCCATATTTTTGTTAACATCTTGTCCGGCATTGTTTTGATTTTGTGTATCAATTTACTGCACCGGTGAAAAAGAATTGAGTACAGTGTTTCTGTACTCAGATTTCCGAATTGCTATACCTGCATGGCACACCAATTGCAATCAGTTAAGATAATGTTATAATCAGGTAAACTTCTGCATGTGAATACTTTTCAGAAATAGTTTTCACTGATACCTATGTAAAAAGATCTGTCATGTCATAGCCAGAACTCATTTTGAAGCTTATGCTTGTTCTGGGCATAACTTCATAAAGGATAAGGAATAAATATATATTAAAAAAAAGTGAATAGCAGCTACGTGGGGAACATGTTTCAGTAAACTTTGTGTTTGTTATGAAATATATACAATGTGTTCTGAAAGCCTTGTTTTTTGTCAACAAAATATTCACTGGAAAGGCAAGATCCAGAGTGTATGCATGTTGTTGACCAATATCTGTTTATTGTAGGAAAATAGAAGATGAAGAAGTAAATAAAGACCAGATTCTGCTTGAAAAAGAAGCTGAAGTAAGATGAAAAAATTCTGTACTCTTGTGATGGGGGAATTTTTATTTTTTTTATTGCTGTTTTAAGTCAGTTGATTTGCATGATCTTGATAATTTGTAAAGGGAAAGACAAAATTTGCTAATATAAAGTTATTCAAGGTACAGTAACAAAAGAGAAAGTGGAAAAGTATAGAAGAGCCTCAGAATACTAATTTATTGGAACAAGCAGAATCTGGTAAACATCGGATTCCATTGTACAAGTCATTTGTGCAGGAAGGGACAGCCATCATATATGAGAAAAGGTTCTAAAATCAGCAATTGCAGATTGGGAAAAAGTTATGCTCGGCAGCAAAGGAGGAAACAGTGGTGGGAATTACCAGGAATGAAGAACAACATGAAAATTCTCGTTTTGCCACTATGATAAATTCATAATTCAGAGCTCTAACACTGTTTTTGAGGTCCCCCTAATTCAAAGAGGATATAGCTATGACTAGAAAAAATACAATGAATAGCAAAGAGTGGGCAGAATGGCTAAAGCAGAGACCTGAGGCAGGTCCCCTCTGGTGGCATACTACTTAATGTTCCTTTTGGGGAGTAGATGACAGAAGGGAAGGATGTAGTGAGGGGTTTATACAATCATAGCCGTCAGGATGAATGGGAAACTACAATTAAAGAAGCAGGCTGAATTTAATGAAATTAATAGGTGGCTTTTTATTTTTTTAACAGAAAAGATACTTTTAGTATATAAGGTATTTGTAAATTGTGGTACTCATTAGCATGGAATTTTGAGCATATCGAGAACTTGAAGGTGGTTGCTAAACACAATGGCAGAATGTTTTGATTTAGAAAGTTCTGAATTGACATATTTCTAGAATTTGAGAGCTTATGTCATGTGTGTGCACCTGCTGTTGGGCTTTTCCATTCATTTTCTAATAGCCAGTCTGGAAAGAAGGCTGAGTTAGATGGATCTTTTGATATGCCCTAGCTCAAGAAGACCCTCAGGCTCCCAGTACTGGCCTTAGTAGCTATCCAAGTCCCAAAAGATAGCCAGGGAAAAGATTGTTGTTTCAAGGAATATGAAAAAACTGTAGTGTAACGTCTTACTGGCTTAATTTTCATTGTTAAGTTTAACATTTCAGTCCAAGTTTAAAGTGTAAATAAGCAAAGACACCCAAAAAATATTTCAGTGCTGTGGCTGACTTCTTATCTTTCAAAGTTCCGTACCATGAAAGAATTTAAGTCAACCCTGTTGAATGTACCGGACTTAGTAGCTGAGTTACTTGATTACCCTGTGTTTAAATGTTGCAGTGTTGTACAACTGAACTAAAACAGTTTTTTAATAATGCATACATCTCCTTGGATGGTTTGCCTGTAATCCTTACTTCCACCGAGTCATCACTGGTACGGAAGTTGAGAAGTAATCCTCACAGGGTTTTATTTTTGATGGCAGATATATAGGTGTAGTTGGAGGAACTTAAACAAGCTGCTTGTGTTCCTATGATAAGCTTTGGTAAGTGTGCTTGTTCAGCACTTCAACACCATCATTCTTATCTATTTAACTTAAATGGAAATCTTTGCTTCTTCTTGGGGTTACTTAGAAACCTTGTCCCAAGTTAAACTAATACAGCCTGCTTATTTCAGTCAGGCAATTTTCCAACCTCTTAGTGGATGAAGATGAGCAGTATTAAAACAAGCCATAACCCGAGATTGCTGCTTGTCAGATGAAGCCAATGCAGATGTGTGTTCCCTCTTTAATATGAATAATAAATAGTGTAGTGACAGCAAAGGATCGTGTTATGAGGTGAGATGAGGCTAAAGGTTTTCCTATGCTCTATTTTCAGCTTCGTCGCATGCAGGAGATGATCGCAAGAATGCAGGCACAAATGCAGATGCAAATGCAAAGTGGAGAAGGAGATAGCAGTGGACATCATGTATAAAGTCTTCGGTAAGGTGTTCAAATAGCTACTTTACAAAGTTTTTCTTTATTACTCATTATTATGGGTGCTATTAAGTTTTGGAAAAATGTTTACAAGACGTGTTTGTGTAGGTTTCAGCTTTTGTTTTAATTTTTAATGTTTAGCTGATGTTTATGAAGTGAAATGACTTGAAACTAAACCAAACATTAGTGTGGCCTTACACAGACACATATATTTGCATTCATTTTTTTCAGAAAGTCTATACAATGTACGTTGGAAAGAATCACGGAAGTAATCTTTCAGATTCTATAAATGGGTAGTTCGCAAACTCACAAAGTTGTTTCATTGTGGCTTTGAAAATGTCTATGCTTCTTTTTTATCAATGTAAGGAGATAGCAGATCTTAAATTGCATTTTTCTGTCTTGTTTTCAGATTACTTTATACCTTGACTTAATGGAGACACTCCATGGATTTGAGTTACGGTGGTGTTACACGGATGCCTTTTGCCCAGTTTGTGACTTGGAGATTATTTTAGAATTTAACACGGAAACGCGTTGTGGTAACTCTTGTGATACGTATTTCATAACATGTAGTCAGTCAGTATTTTATATATTATACACACTTGACTTTTTGTTTTGTAATTCTTATATTGAGCTTATTTTCAGTTTCCCATTGTATTAGGGATACAAAATAGACAATGAAACTTCTAGCCTGACATGGCGTTAGATGATTTGCTTTAATATGGCGTACTAACTCCCTGCTTTTAACTTTGTATTATGTTTAGAAATAAACAGCTATTAGTGATATCAGTAGTGTGTAATAGTCACTAATTAGGGAACTTTGCAAGGTTAGTTTTATATTTTTGCAGTGTTTACAGGTGTGTGTCTGTGAGACCCTAGCCCTTCTTCTGTCTCTGCTGAGTGCAGGTGATCTCCTTTGGCCTCTGCAAGTATCTAGTTAGAATTCAGGCATGCCTTGTGTCTTAATAAAAGAAATAAGAGGAAATACCTCTTTAAGGGCACACTGTATTTTTAAGAGTTTCTTGTACGTCAGCACAAATCAGTCCTGCTGTTTTCTGGCATTACTGTAACCAAATAAGCTTGAATAATGTTGGTATGTTAAATGAGATAAACCCCAAAGAGTAGTTTTATGTCCATGGGTGTTTCCATATCCAAATGCATAAGAAATTCTTTAATTCCTAGAGAGTATTTTCATACTATTTTTAGGGCATTGCAAACTGTTAATTGTAGTATAACATATATACTAGCACACTTCCACTCTTTTTAGAGTGATCTGTGCCTGACAGGATCGAAGTGAACTATATTTTAAGGTCCTGGAGTTAGCAGTAATACTTATGAGGTGACTCCAATGTGTTACACAGTTTTTTAGGCCAAGGTCACTTTCCTTAATGCTGATAGCAAAGGAAACTGGTTTTGAGCTTGGCTGGACTTCTGCTGCATATCGTGGTAGGTACGGAATTTGCCATATGTAATAACAGCTATAGCGTACAGCTACGTAGGTGGCAGCTGAGAAGAGTACGCAGTTACTCTGCCAGAAATCATATTTCCTAATGTGATGTGTTACAAAACATCTGAACAGCCAATAAGTAGATAGAATTCCAGCTTTTCTCTGTTCTGAGCTCAGGTGCAGCAACGATTTTTATAATTTTTAATTTTTTTTGAAAAAATAATAATATTTCTACAGCTAATTTCAGTGATACTCAAATGGCTAGATTAAATATGAACCTGCTAAGCAGAAGAAATTTTTACCTGCCTGAAACTGCTGTTTTATGAATTGCTTTATATTTGAATCTTTCTAAAAATGTGAAGCAAAGTTCTCTGCCCTAGCCTTTGCTGGGCAGAGAAAAAAAATGGAGCTCCATTTTTCTTTGCAAAAGCAATTATTCGCAAAGTTTTGTATATGACACACGTGATCTTCCCTAACCGTCACAAAGGTGTAAATGAGAACCTTTTTATATACATGTATGTAGATGCACAGAAGTGGCTAAGTCCCGTTTTGTCAAATTATATACACATAAAACTTAGATGGAAAAACATGCACTTCCAAGTTCTTGTATTGCCTTTTCTAAATAGCACATAGAAATAACATAGCAGTATTACCAGAAAAAAAAAAAAAGCAAAGCAACAACTCCACAGCACCTTATGTATTTCTAAATCTTTGATACATTTTTGTGAGTCAGTAGTCATAAATATGCCAGAAAAGTAACTCGTGTTTTACTAAGTATTTTGTGAGCTCCCATACTGTTCTGTAGTTGCCACCAATCCGGTTTTGTTCTGATTCTGCAGCATTTGCCTGCTTTTAAGCTATTATTAGTCTGGTATCTCTGATAAATGTTTTGAGCACAGCGACACAGTGACATTTGTGTTTTCACATATAAGCTTGGTAGGTACTGTAAGCTGCAATAGGACTGGGAACCAGTATTTGAACTGTGAAATCTGTGTGTGCAAACCAGTCCCGGGTTGTACATGTAACTCTCTGTGTATGTTGCTTTTTCTCCTATATTTTCTAACATGGGAGTAAAAGTAGGTTGTCTGTGCATTAAGTGCTGTTTGGTCACTACCTGTGGAATTACTTTAGGCTATATCTTAACCTTTGAAATAGCATCTATTGAAATATTTCATCAGGGTAAAGTATTCTGGATGATTCTTAGGCAAGTAATTTTTGATTTATAAATTCTAGCAGGAGAAATATTTTCATAAATATTTTTTTTCATGGGAAAAATAAAGTTTATGGCACTTGCCATTTTAACTGAAAGCTAATTGCTTCCCCTTCCCAAGTCTTTCATTTGTAGTGTGCCTGATGTCTCTGAAGGTCTCTTTTCCCTTCAATTCTCTTGCGTTGGCCTTGCATCAGTGGTTTCATGGTGAGACATAAAAAGTGAAACTATGTTTCACAGATTCTTTTTTTTTAGACAACCTTCAAGTACTGGTAGAAGAAAGACTTGGAGACAAAAGGTAGATGTTTGGTGTGGTGTTGAACTGGCTATAATTTGTTTTCTTTTATAGCTCTGTTACAGTTTCTAATTTAGGAGTCAAAATACTTCTGAATTTGCAGAGGTTTATATTTGGTGGCAAAGATGTCTTGCTCTTGGCACAAAAAACTTACTGTTATATTCTGGTTTATGTACTGTCACTAGCCAAGACTATAATAAAAATGCAAAAACATTTTTTTTGTCTTTTGTTTTGATTCCTTGTTATAATCAACCCTGGTAATGTTTGTTTGTTTGTGGTGATATGTTTTAAATATAAAGGAGACATTGAAAGAGAACACCATGCTGAAGCTGCATACAGTATGTCCGTTAAATATTGCATGCTCCACATTTATTGGTACAGTGCATTTCCGTTCGGTGCTCCCAGAGATGCTGAAGCCCTACCGATGGGACCTTGCTTTTTCAGCAGTTCTCACCAAACTTACACGTCCCCTAATTATTCTGTTAACACAGAATGAAGCTACTTGTTGTGGGTGGTGCTTTATGCAGAAGGGTTATTGTGTTTTCTAGTGAATTGTGCTTCATTTCAAGAGAGAGTCAAAGGCTTTTTGATCTTTGTTCTAGAAATTCCATAATAATTTGGGGCTCAACTTCCTGTAAAACTGTGCCAACCACCCGTATGGCTGTTACAGGTTGAGAGCACCAGGCTGTGTCCTTGTTCTTAGATTCCTGAGCTAACTGTTAATACCAGAGCATTTTATGGCAGTCCTTTGAATTCGAAACGTGTTACCTTTCATGTGCCCTGACCTGGACAGGTCACTTGAGGTTGCTTTGTTGGATTGCTCTGTACTGCTGGGAGGTGCACATGGTGCTGTCAGACCACTCCTCAGGGGTAAGACTTGTGCATGCTGTGACAACTTCATGGATTGTTTTGAAGTATATTTATGGTTATGTTTTGTATATCTGCAGTGTTTAGTGTTGAACTGATCCACTCAAGGAAGATTCATCTTTAGTGGGAGAATAAGTAAGGAAGCATCCTTATTACATCAGACCTGCTTTTTAAAAGATTTTTTTTGTTTGTTTATTGATCGTATCTAGAACTTTTGGAATAGCATCCTTTTTGTCAAGTGTAGAAGACTTCTTTTTGTGGAATTCAAATCCAGTTCTGGAAAGGAGTCCTGAAAAAGAATTGCACTAAGAGTTGCACAATGATATTTCTAGGTAACTTATTATAAGGAAAATTTCCAGATTGGTTAGTTCTGTGCACATAAAGAAAAAGAATGATAATTGTGGACAAGGACTGAAATAGCATGGCAAAAGTAAAACACCTCTTAAGTCAGGGCAGACATTGTAAGATTTTAAAATCTTACATTGTCTGCATTCTGAAATCTTACATTTCTTTCTAAAAGAAAGATTGGGATCTCCAAAAATATTTGGTGGCAGTATTCTGGTATAAATATTAAAAACATGACCTGCAGAATAGATCTAACTATGCACATTAAAAAGGTCCTTTGTGCATTGGTGTGCTATTGACAGTGCTAGAAGGAACATTACACTACTCTGTTTTTGTAGGCAGCATTGCTGTCTTACTTATATGCTGGAACAAGTTTTATTTTATTTCAAATTTGTTTTATAAAGCAAAGCTACTGGATTATTTTGGAGGAGTTGCAGTGAATTATTAGTATACAGTTATGCAGATAAATTCATGCCTTTTTTTATATGCAAGACTATCGTGGATCTGAATATATTCGGCTGCAGATTTTTCTGGGTAATTGCTTTCTCTTCTTTGTATGTATCTTTTTCCACTTTTTTCACCTTTTTTGTCTGAACACTTAGACATTTCTCCTTGCGCTTTTATGAATACTTCTTTTACAGTTGTTTTGTCCACTCCACTCTTCTGCAACATACTTAAGATTTTTCTTCTTTTGATCATCTCTATGCTGTACAGCAGGGTTTTTATTTTCCTCTCCTGTCTTTAGACCCCTGCCATTTCTCTGTTTGTTCCATTGGTACCCTGCAAGCTTCCAGCATTTTTCTCTAACTTCATCCCTCACTTTGGGGTAATGTTCTTGTAGATTGCAGTTGTCCTAGTTAGAACGGCTTGCCTACAGTAGCAATCCCTTTTCTGAACACTTGACCAGGTGGAGATTAGTCCTGGCCACCTTGGCTCTTTAGCAAGGAATGAGGAAGGAGATAATTTAGAGCCTCCTGTGTATCTGTTTCAGGTGAATATTAGGATGGCTGGGCTGGAGATCAAATTTACACCACTTGCTCCTAGGTTTTCCATTTAGTTGATACATGTGGATAAATGAGTTGTCTCTCTCCTGCTGCTTAAACACTCTAATGAACTCAGAGAATGGTAAGTAAGTGACTGAGAAGAAAGCTGTCTTGTGAGACTACAAGATAAGAATGTTTGGCATTTCATTAACAAATCCTACCAAAAAGGACTACATTCAACATCTCTCGTAACAATGCACTCGTGCAGTTTGCTGCCCTGTGCAGCAGGATCAGAAGTGCAAAGGGCTGGAGTGTTTTACTGATTTATCTTCCACCAAAGCTGGAAAATAGTAGAATATCATCACAAAACACTCTGAAGCAAATGAAGTTCAGACCTATGAATTTTAACCTTAAAGTTGGTTGAGTCTTCCTGTTTATATTTGAGTAGTTGGTGTGAGTGCAGAGAAGCTTCCTGCCTTAGGTAGCTTGCACCAGTGACTGCTGTTTATCTTGTGGTTGACCAGACAGACATTGCATGGATCTTCCTTTCAGAGTGTCTGGCATGGAAGCGGCAAACTTATCACTGGACTCCTACTGACAAATACTGGGACAAAGCTAGAAAGTAACTCTTAAGAGATTCCTGAAGTGGAAGGAAAGGTTTTGTTTGGGCTATTAAAACACTTTATAATTGAGCTTGCCATAGAGTTTTTCCTGCAGGCAATAATTCCAGAGTGGATTTCTCTGGAGAGTTAAAACATGCTTTTCTGTTAACTTGTTTTAGAGCCCCATTCCCACCACATTTGTCTCTTGTGTCTGGAGATGGGAGGTAGTGGTTCTGGCCTGCACTACATCCTTTCTATTCATTCAGGCATCCTAGAAGGCAAGAAAAAAAAAAAGGTGGTGAAAGTGTGGTGGTGGTAGGAATGCAGCCCAGCTTACCAGCAAGGCAAACGTTTTCCCTGCATATTTACCAAAGCCAGTGGCATGGTGGCCTTGTCCTGCTGGACTAGCTGTCTTCTCAGTGTGTCACCCTGCTGCCAGAGCACGCAGGCACAGAACCCAGTGCCATAAGGGATCTCTTCATCATCTGGAAACAGAGGTGTTGTTGCCTGCTTGTGTGTTGTTTTGATAAGGAGATATGAAGGGTGCAGAAACCAGCCTGTTGTCACACTAACCATGTGAGACGATGTGCCACGAAATCAGATTTGGTGTAACTCTGGGTCGAGTCCAGAAACAGAACAGAGGCAGCGTGAGGAGGAGGAGGAGGAAGAAGTTTGTCCAAGGACTGGTTTGATGGCCAGCTTTGTTGTCAGCGTGGTCCAGAGGCGATAGGATGATCTGGGTCTGGCTCACAGCCACTTAGAGGTGTGTCGGTTTCAGGTGTGCTGGGGAGTTTCTCCCGTGTTTAGCAAGGCAAGATCTTCTGATGTATCTGTAAGTTTGCAGGTTTCGTTTCGGTACTTGAAATGCAAAACCAAGCTCATTTCCACCCACAGGAATGAGTTCCTGTAAATCTAGCGAGACAGAGGAGGTGTCCAGCGATCTCCGACTGAGAACAACATGCTTTTCAGAACCTACCTCTGGCTAGAGCAGAGGCGGTCCTGCAGACAGGCTGTTCGGCTGCAAGAAACAAGTCCCACAAGGCAAGAAGTGCAGTGCTTTGATTGCTGTGGGAAAGACAGAGCTCCTTGATAGGAAAAAATGAGCAGAGCACTCTCTCTGCCAAGCCTGGGGCCAACTCCTGCTTACTTTGTTTGAACCCCAGCATAAATGGCTTTGTAGGACTGATGCAGGTAATTGTGCTCTAGTCTCAGCCCTCCTGAGATCCTCAGTTTTACACGTATCTTCAGTGGTGATGTAACTGCTGGCTGGCACGTCAGATTTAAGGTACGGCTGAATTCTGAGAGAGGTCCAAGTTGCCAGACAGAAATTTCTGCTCAGCCACATTAAGTCACATAAAGGAAAGGTGTTGCAAAAGGTCAGAAAGATTTGAGTTAAAAGACATGCCAGCCATTAGTAGCTTACTGTGTTGCTTACTGTGTCTTGCTTAAAGTGCCTCAAGCTGGCTGTCCTGCTTTTTATTGAGAAACAAATTGAGGCTGATGGGACAAAGAGAAAGAATCATCATTTTTCTAAGCAGAAGCCAAAAGTTCCTGGGAAAATTCCTGTGTTGGAAGCAGAAGTCCAATGTTATGTGAAGATAACTCAGCGTATCCTATAGAATGAGTAAATAACACACCCTGATAGCTAATGCAAAACACTTAGTAAACAGGTACCATACTGCTTAAGCATCGTATTTATTAAAATAAAAGAAAAAGGAAAGGCATTGACAGTAAAATACTTTATTCAGAACACGCCCACTCCTGCATTTATTAAAAACAACGGGGGAATTGCAAATTACTGTGTTTAATTCGCTTTTAAGCAGCTTTTCCAAAATGCAGAGCCTAAAACCTCTTCCCATAGTAGTTACTTGCTCAAATATCAGAGATTTTTTCCCCTGGAGAGAACACGCGTTCTGGCTCGGTGGGGCTGTTTTGGTGAAGCAGTTTGCTTGCTGACTAGCAAAGTCAGAAAGTTCATAATCCGAGCGAGAAAACTGGTTGTAATCTTCCTCCTATGCTCAGCAAATAGTCTCAGGCTGCCTATTTCATTTACTTTGAGATACAGAAAAATGGCATTGCAAGGATGGCTGGCAGGCCACGTGGAGCCACTGGCCAAGATCAGTTTCACCCTTTCAAGCATCAGTAGGAATTAACATGCTCTGTTGCCCGGCCCAAATAGCTGGGACCATTTGTGGAGGTTTGGGCCCAGAAAGAGGAATCTGACAGCTTGCTGTTTAGCTAGAAGGTGCTTAGCTGGTTACCTTATTTTGGAAAGGTGTGAGGCAGCTCAGTTAGCTGGCATCACTGAGGCTCTGAAGCCGTGTTTCTTTGACAGCAGAATAATCGCCATGCTTACCAAGGGATTAGTGCTTGTGGTTCTTTGGTTTCTCTTTTTGTTCTGAAGGATCCTGTCTAC